CCCAAACCCCCAGGTTCAGCAGGAGCAGCAACAAGAGATAAAACAGGAGGTGAGAGGAAAGAAAGCACAAACAAGCAATCTCACGAGCATCTGAAGCCACGTCAGAATGGGGGTCGTTTTGGTCCTAAGGCTGGTCTCTACATCCCCACGGGCAACCGGTTCAGCCCTTTGGATAAAGAAGGAGGGATGGAGGAAGGGGGGAAAAGAGAAATAAAAGAACAAACTGAGGAGAAGAAGGGTCCAAAACCGCAAGAGAACAGGGCTTCAAAAGGTAAAGAAATAATGAAAATAACGGAAGCTTCGTCAAGTAAGGCACCCGATGAGAAAGGTCCAGAGCCAATGGACCTGGACCCGCTGAAGGATGCGTTTGGGGTCCAACCAATGGAAGTGGACCCTATCCCAGGAGCACCCACACCTCCAGAAAAGACCACATATGTTGGGACTGTCCAAACACAGTCAGAGGACCGAAGCTCAGATCTAGGAAAAATAGCGGAATGGCCGTTGGATAACCTCAGACTCAGATTCCAAGGACACTCGGAGGAATTTTGGGACGACACCTACAGACATCTGGTCCCATTACTAGAAACCAGTTCAAACCTTCGAATAGCACTGGATCAAGGCCTGTCGGAGGGTGTAACTTGGAATCAAATGTGCCACCGTTTATTGCCAATAGTGGCAACGCGACCGGCGCGACGTACTTCTCAAAGTTGGATCTGAAGTCAGGTTACCACCAGATTGAAATTCAGCCTTAAGGCCAGTACAAGACCGCGTTCAAGACGCGGTATGGGCATTTTGAGTGGGTKGTCATGCCATTTGGCCTCACCAATGCCCCCGCAACGTTTCAAGCAACGATGACGACTGAGTTTCGCGACTTGCTCGATCGCAGCGTCCTCATCTACCTTGATGATATCTTGGTTTATAGCAGGACGTTGGACAAGCACATCGTACACCTTCGCGTTGTTTTGAATCGTCTGCGACTAGCCAAGTACAAAGCGAATCTCGACAAGTGCGAATTCGCCAGGCAAGAGCTTGAGTACTTGGGCCATTTTGTCACGCCGAAAGGCATTCGTCCCTTAGCGGACAAGATCCAAGCCATCGTGGATTGGCCGGAACCCCGTTGCACTACGGATGTACACTCGTTCATGGGTTTGGCAGGATATTATCAGCGATTCGTCGAGTCATACTCGAAAGTGGCCGCTCCTTTGTCGAGACTTCAGTCCCCGAAGGTGCCCTTCGAGTTCGACGACGCAGCCCGTGGCGCGTTCACTACGTTGAAGGCAGCGATGCAAGCCGCACCTGCCCTCCGTATATACAGCCCCACCCTACCCACCCAAGTGACTACGGACGCTTCGGGATACGGTATTGGTGCGGTGTTGGAACAGTGTCACGAGGACGGTTAGCATTCGGTTGAGTACTTCTCCCAGAAGGTGCCTCTCGTCAACACTCTTGATGACGCTAGGAAGAAAGAGTTACTCACGTTCGTCACCGTCCTCAAACGGTGGCGCCACTTTCTTCTCGGTCGTCGGCGTTTTAAATGGAATACGGATAACAATCCGTTGACATTTTACAAAACGYAGGACACGGTCACTAGTACGATCGGCCGATGGATGTATTACATCGACCAGCTCGATTTTGACCCGTGTCACATTCCCGGTCCTGCCAATCGAGCTGCGGACGCCCTCTCACGACGGCCCGACTTTTGTGCCATTGTGACGACGGCATTCGACCTCGATGACGATCTGCAGCAGCATTTCGTCAAAGGCTACAAGTCCGATCCGACTTACTCTACACTTTACGCAGAGCTTTCATCGGATCACCCGCCGGCTAGCCACTATCGGATTTTCGACGGGTTCCTTCTCCTTCACACGAGAGGAAAGGACTTGTTAGTTATGCCCCAAGATCGTATCTTACGGACTCGTCTTCTCGGCGAATTCCACGATGCACGACTTTCGGCACACCTTGGCGTGAACCGCACACT